TTAGACTCCATGTGGGTGTATAATGTCAGGTCTGCCCCAAGTGAGCTGATGTTTTGAAAGGACACTCGCATCATGCTGCCTTTCCCTTGCCTGCTTCAGCACATATAGAATAGAGACACATGCACACACTGAAGTCTGACCTAGAATTCTTATAACTGCATGAGTCCTATTGTTGAAATACAGTGAAGAGATGACCTTGCATTGGAACAGGGAAAGGGGTAGAAGGGCACAGAACTGGCAACACAGAAGGCAGAGCTTTAAAATTAACTACAACTGAGCTCCTGAAAGAGGCAAAATAGACAATGGGCAAAAGGGCATGGTGAGAGAAATGAAGGTTAATCGACTGTTGCGTTTTTGTCTCTGTGTGTGAATGTGAAGTGTAAGAGGCAAAAGAGAGCAGTAGGAAAAATAGAGAGGGAGCAATCAATAGTCAATAGAGATGATGCATGGAGAAAATAAAATGGAAATACTGTAGCATTGTCACATTAAACATGACACACTGACCCTGGAAGCATACATGAGTAACTGCTATTGATCACCTGAAGAGAGATAAAAGAGAGAGAGGAATCAGTTATCAAACTCTTTGATGAGGGTGGAAAATGCCTGTTCAACCACAAAATCAAACTGGGGCTCAGTATTTCACTTAAATAAAAGTATCTTTTCATAATGATAGATCTGTAGACTGTATACACACCAATATATACAGTAGAAATATAAACCTTGTTTTTTATGATTATTACACACATGATGCCCATCGCCATATCTGTGAAGTTCTTCATGCCTCTAATATTGGTTACTATCCAAAACTGCTGAAGGGGGACATTGCTCCTGGTAAATTTTCAGTATAACTTCCTTGACATGGAAAGTGGCCTCCTGTTTATTTCATTTTGGATTGGATTTCATCATTTTCTGATGATCCATTTGACATGTTGATTGGGTCATACAGCATGACTAATGCTATCACTAAGCTGGTACATGTAGTTTGTATTACCACAATTATATAATGTGTTACATGGTAATTTGTGAAAGTGGCAGTAGCACACGCAAACATTCATTTAGCTTCACTTAAATCCAGACTTTACTTTATAGTATGATGTCAAGTCGGTTCTGCATCTCTACACTAATTAGGACTGCCCCCATAAATTTGATAACGTGAATCATTTGCCCCAGTTCCACTGTCAAATAGTCACATTTAGTCCCTTTCACAATGCACACAACATGCTATTGAGATTATGAAATGTGTTTTCTTACCTTTAAGGAAGAAAATGGTTTCTGTCAATTTTAGCGTGTAAATCAACCTGCAGGGACTTTTTCTTGTCCTCTTTAAACTAGCAGTTGTAAGCTGTGATCTTGCTGCATTAAAGTGCTTGTAAGACAGTAGGAAAACACGCTATTAAATTAAATAAAAACTCACTCACTCACTCACTCATCGTTAACAGCTTATTCTGTGTACCAGGTTGTGGGGTAAATAAAACTCATGGCTTAAAAAAAGAGCTTCTTTGAAATTGAATTTAGTTACATACAGCATAATCACTGTCAGTGCAACCACACACACAGTAAAAACACTCTACCTCCAAATCTGTCTCCAATTTAGTGATGCCCCCTAATGTGTTTTCTTCATAAAAAAGCTTCCCTTAGGGTGGAGGAAAAAAGGCTCAAAGCAATCCTAGAATAACTATCATCTAAATAGATCATTATACCAATGGCTGTCCTGTATTCAAGTGCAATACCTCACCAGAAGTCCTAAGTAAGATGTTCTTTCTTTCTATCTTTCTTCTTTTCTGCACTAAAAGTGTTTGGGCAGCAAAATCTATTGCACGAAAACTCACCAAAATTGGCAGGTGGGTTGCAAATTCCACCCACTACTCAGGCCTCATGTTGGCACTATAACAATCAACTTTACGTTTTGGCAATTATCTCAAGAATGGCTTCGTTTAGATTAGAACTTCTTTCACCATTTTAATCTCTGGATTAATCTGCATTTTTGCTCCAATGGTCTTCTGCTCTAAAAATGTCAAATTATACAACTTTTTATCACTTTTCTCTAAAACCTATTTTTGTGAACTCGTCCCAGACGGTTTTGCCAATTGAACTGAAACTTTGGCAGGATCATCTATAGACGTTGCTGACCAAAAGTTATCAAAAGAATTTTGATACGTCAATCTGTTTTGTTTTTTTTCATAAATTTTTACTTTTGTGTCTTCATGTACAATTCTACATAAATGCCCGTAAATCCAAATTGGCTTAAGCTATTGTCACCAAACTTGACGCGTCTGTTCAGCTGCTCAGCCTGAGCTTCACTGAGCAGTCCTGGGATGTTCTTCCACTAGGGGGCACTACACTTGCAAAAAGTTTATAACTTTTAATTTGCTACATGAAATCCGTAGGGTCACTACTCAGTTGATGCATAAAATTTGGTAATGTTTGCTCAAAGTGGGCGTGGCTTATCACAAATAATGTAAATTTCTAGACATTTCTCATTCCAAATTTTTCAGCACATCCACTGTGACCAACATTTGCCTCATTGCAACCTAAGGTCAATTCAGAAGCCAGTCACTCTATATTTTTCAGAATATGCTAATTCAATTAAGCACAACATTTTCTTTTTTACCCACTTTTGGATAAGATGCCATCAAAATAATTGACCGCACACCCAAAACCAGCAGAATAATGTGTAAATTTTCTCCCCTGCATTTTGACTGTTTTTTTAAGTTTTAACTGACTGAAATATCCCGGTCTGGTACATGTGATGTCACTACCTCAACTTGTGTCACCAGTAGCTCAGTCAGTAAGTCACCTACTCAAGAGATCTGCAATAGTGAGTCCATTTTGTTTTCCATTTTATTTGGATCTCATGACACTTTCTTCTAATTTTTCACTACTAAATAGTGTTTGTGCAGCTTAAACTTTAAAACTTGGGAACATAAAATGTTGCAGGTGGGTTGAACATTTCACCCAGCAGTCAGGTACATATAATGACACTCTCTGATCTCAAGGTGATGCTGTAAAAATCAAGTTAGCGTTTCCCCAATTATCTCAAAGACTATATTCTTTCAACACTTTAATCTCTTAAGTCTTCTGCGTCTGTTCTTCTCCTCTGAAAATGGCTGTATTTTTAAAATGCACACTCTTAAATTAACAGTAACAGCTTATTTTCATCCCTTAAAAGGAATACATTTGTTGTGAAGTTGCATGATTTTTATCTGTCACAAATAATGTGAATCTACACCAAAACACCCTTAAGAGACCCTTAAATCAGCTTCCATTCAGCTGTTGCACAGGAGAGGTATTTGGTATGAGGTCAGTGTTTTTGTCCTTGGCGCTACCTTTGAGAATGAGTCAGAGAGACCAGCGCTGAAGTAACTGACTCTGGCTATCTGTGTCCAGCATCTCCACTACTAGCTGCCAGCAGACCCTCCCCCCCAAGTCCTCTCCTGCCCCCGGGCTTCACTCACGCCACATCCCCAGAGATGCCGTATTCATTATTCACACTCGGGGTTTCTCTGGCCCCACGGCAGGGGTTTACTTACCTCATTTGGTCTCTGTCCCCTGGCTTCTTAGCTGATATTCAAATATACATCAAGATTTTAACTGCACACACACGCGCGCAGGTGCAAGGAAATTACTTCTGCCATGTTCATCTTTCTCCATCTCTTGTTTGCTCGCTTGCTCTTGGCTGCTGTAAACCTGAAGAGTTGTGTTACACTGAAGACATTTTTGCTGGAAAACGTTCAGCCCCACGTTATACACTGAGATAATCACTACACAATATATTTTTTATGCTCCGCACCAAAACAAGTCCCTTTGTCGAAGAATTAGAGTGAAAACCATGCTTGTGTGTGTGTGTGTGTGTGTGTAAGACTTTAATTCCCCAGTATCTTCACAAAAAATAAAATATCTGTGTCTAAATAAACCTATGCAGACATACCATGGACAGCTCCTGTCAACCTGGCTCTCAAATAGATATGTTTAATGTGACAGCATTGACTCCGCTTTGATATTTTTCTGCTCGGCAGAGTTTTCAGCACGGCGTGCGCCACAAGGGAAACCAGAGGTCCATCATGTTAGATTTGGCTCTAGTGCTCTTATTTGGCTGTCTCTATTGTTGAATTGCATCAGTGTCTCGTTCTCTGTAGTGAGTTGAGTTTGTATTCTCTGTTAATCCCACACCCCATAACAACAAACTAGCTTTTATTTACATTTAAACTGTATATTGAAATGTTCTACCGGACATTTGGTCACATATATCGAAACCAGCATCTCTTTTATCCAAAATCTAACCTTTACTTCGACAGCATTTTAGTCGAGAACATTTATACTACTTTATCACCTGGATAACTTTGACGTTGGTGGCTCAGCATTTAGCACTATTGGCTCCATGTTAGCGTAGATTTCAGTCCAAAGACATGCAAGCCAGGTGGTTTTGGAGAGCACAGGTATAAAGTGAGCATCTGCGTCTATGAAAGTTGCCAGTCTACCACAGTCAGCCTGGCTCTTCGCTGCCCAGTGCATGCTGGGATAGGTTTAACCACCCTGTGACCCTAAAAAGAAATACACAGGCTGAGACAATACAGACAAATTAAGCCATTTTTAATTTCATTAAGGGCAACAATTGTCTGTAAAGTGTAAAGATAATACTGTATTTCTTTATTACACTTGAAAACGATTGGTCACATTAAGTCACGTTTATTTAGATAGCCATTCAAAACCCTTCATCCCAGTTACAGTCTCAAAGTGCTTCAGAATACTTCATCACATCCAAATTATGAGACAGTAAATTAAAATGAAGAATTAATTGACAGCCCTCTATACTACGGCACCTTGCTGAGAAAAGGGAAAACTGGTGCAACTAGTGACTCATCCAAGCATGCAGAGTGTGTGTGTGTGTGTGTGTGTGTGTGTGTGTGTGTGTCACATGAGCCTCACAAGGGCAATGTGTTCATTTCAGTTTCCTTTGTGTACTCACATTCCCTCCTCTCTCGCTTCATCTCTGTCTCCAGGTGCAGCAGGATGCAGGGCGTACTGCCTGCGTGTGGACTGCAGCCCCTGCTGGCCTTCCTTCTGCTTCAAAGTGTGGGCTGTGGTAAGTCCTCATTAAACTGTAGGCAGTCCCCGTCACCGGACCTACAGCATATATACATATACAGCGCAGATAACTGCAGAGGCTCATGTGCACAGACAAGCCTCTGACCAATCTCCCTCATGTTTTACCAGTCAACCAGAAAGGATCCTATGAATAATAAGTGGTCATCTGTGATTTCAGCAGTTTGGATCCGCCTCCTGTCACAGACCAACTTCAGTGCACAGGATGTGACAAATGATGTCCCCAATTCAATTAAACTGGGATGAATATATAATAAGAATATGTACTTAAAAAACTGGTTGTAGAGCATGGAGGGAAGCAGAGTGACTGGGTGAGAGGCAGAGTGATGTGTGATAAAAGGTAATCAAGCATGTCCTTCCAGTCAAAGATAAGCAAAACACCCATCACCTTCAGGGCGCAAGCAATCATCCTCCTTTATACTCTCAGCCAACTGTTGAGAATGAATCAAAAAGAGAGAGAAAAGAAAGAAAACACTGATATAGTATTTTGTAAAAACGTACTCAAACTACTGTATTGTGGGATCCGTTTTCATGTTCCGTATGCTCTTTAGAGGTCAAAACAACTCCAGCAACGCTTATTAGTATAATGACCAACTTTATTGCGAGACAAATGTGTTTCATTATGGCTTGTTAGCAGTCCCACTAGAGACATTTCCCCTCTACCAGGGTTGGAAATTAGCACCCACCACCCTCCAAATGCAGGTAATTTTGTGTAGTAGGTAAATTTTCTCAACCTACCAGCCACAGTGACGGGTAAATAAAAATAGCTTAACAGAGCGATTTGTGACATTTCACAAAGCAGATTGAATCTCAAGTCTGCTTGTTTCACTCGGGACACTTCAACGAGGAGACCCAGAAAAACAATGTGTGTGTGTGTGTGTGTGTGTGTGTGTGCGAGAGAAAGAAAGAGAGAGAGAGAGAATGTCAATATTTTCCTCAGGAGTTCAAAGCTGGGGTAGGTAACGTTGGAGAACTAGCAAGAGACAAAACACATTTTCATGTGCAGTGAAAATGGCAGTCTGCAGCAGCAGCAGCAGCAGTCTGTAGTGTCGTGAGAATCACCTGTTAGATCTCATCAGTCACGTTGACATTTGTCAAGTCTGTCAGTCTGTCCATTGTTTTCTGTTTCTCCCCTTAACAGTATTCATATATTGAACACCTGGCTGACCTTCACAGCTTTGCTGCTAGCCCATTTATTCCAATCATTTTATCCGCTCATAACTACCCCAACAGCACTTCCAAGAAGAGGCGAAAATACGAGCTAAAATGAAGAAAAACAAATCTGAGATTTCCAAAGCTCACATTTGTCCTCTCAGTCACTTCTAAGAGAGGGAAATGATTTCTATATTTTGTTAAATCAAAAAATTCAAATGCATATTTACAGAGCTCATTAGAATTCACTTTGATCCGCTCAAAATCTGACGTTTAGGATCTCAATCCTCTCACTATGTGTCAGCAAGTTAAATTTTTAAATTAAAACCCTTTTTATTTGCTTAGAGAAGGACAGTGTGACAGGGGTTTATGAAATTAAAGTTTAGTGTCATACAGTGACTTACACAGAAACTTGTGTGGCACTCGGAGTCATTTGTCTATCTGTAAGTCTGCTCTGGTTTCTCAAACCCCCTCCCTATCTGTTGTTTTGGCAGTTTTATCTGTCTATTCCACAGAGCTCTGCAGGGAAGGGTATGCAACACAAACATTCACATCTCTGTCCTTCTTTGCCCTCTCTATACTCTCCTTGTACTCCCTTGCTCTGTATCTGTGTGTATCTGCATGTGTTTTACGCGTATGTGGGACAGACTGCACGCCCCCTCAGCACTCTCAGTGGCCTCCCTGGCCGTCTGCTCCTCTCTGTATTGTATTGTTTCTGCCTTCTGTGGAGGTCAAAAAAAAAATCAACGGACCTGGCTGGGGCCTTTCTGTGACTCAGGGCTCAGCTTCGCAGGCAGAGAGATGATGAAAATGGAGCCAACTCTGTCTGTCTGTATGTGTGTACATGCATGTGTGGATACCTTCAGGTTACATCTGCCAGGTATTTTATGCAGCCAACTTGCGGAACAACACGCACTGTAGCTCTCTCTCACACACACACATGCACACATGCACAGAGCATCTCTGAGCAGCTTGATAACACACTTACATGTGCCTTTCAGAGTGTACGTGTCATGCAAATACACATTCCCTGCCTCTGCCATGAAGGAGTTTAGTTTTTGAGGGCATTAATGCCTCCTGTTCTTTCTTTCTCTTCATTCCTGCATTTTGTGCTTTTTTGCCGGCTGAGTGACTCTGGAAATAGCCAGTGGAAGGTAGAGGACTACAGGGAGGGTTGGCACTAAAGCTCACCCTGTGACACTTTGCTTGACAGCCCGGAGATTGGAAAGAGGGTGGGATGTGGGAGAGGAGGACAGATTAGGGGTGAGCTTTTTGCACATGTGTGTGTGTGTGTGTGTGTGTGTGTGTGTGTGTGTGTGTGTGTGTGTGTGTGTGTGTGTGTGTGTGTGATAGTGATAGAGTATGCCTGCACTTTTCTACGAGCACTCCTGTGTGTGCACGTGTGTTTATGAATTTCAAAATGTTGGCTGCATGCCACATGGGATAAATGTATCATTATGCTTCAGAGGATGCAAAATTAGTCACGGCAGCAGCCTGCGGGGAGTTCTTGTGAAGCCTGACATGGCCTGGTAGGAGTCATCTCCGAAAGGGAGAAAGCTGCAGTGAGATGGTTAATATTTGTCACGAAGGGATAAGGAAGACACAAGGGTAGGCAGTCTGGGTCGCAAAGGATTTGAGGGATGGGTAATTGTGAAATTTGGAGAATACCTAAACATCAAGGAGGGAGGTGTGAGAGGTGGCACCTTATTTTGATTAAGACTTTAGTGTTTAGTATTTTGATGTACTTTTTTGGGTTATAGTTTAATAATTTAATTATTGTTTTAGTAAAAAAAAACTAAACAAAATGTAAGACATTTTAGTGTATTTTCTGTCTGATCCTGCACTCATTCCCGCTGATAGCCCATAAAGAAAAAAATATACTCGACTTGATATTGTATCCATGTTCATACTTCACAATGTTACATTAACATTAGCTTAGCACAGAATGTGTGATTCTGCAGGTGCATGCCGTTCATTCGTTCAAGAACTTTTCATTAAGAAAAGAGAACTATACTTTTTCACTGTTATTTTTGTAGAAAAAAATGAACACTGGTGAAGTGAGGTGGGGAATGTGTGAGAATAAGAGAAAAGGGGAGCTGAAGATTTAGGCAAGGCAACCTTGGTTTCACGAGGGAAATGGAGGAGGAAGAGGACGAGGAGAGGAATACGAAAAGACTCAGGGAGACAGGAATGTATGGAGCAGAGAAATAGAGCATGGTAGGAAAAACATCAGGGAGGAGCGAGAAAGGAGGAGGGAGTCGAGATTTAGAGGGATGTTTTGGGGAGAAAATTTCATGCGAGAGACTGTCAGCATGGAGACATAATTTCCAAACCCTGCATGAAGTCCGCCTGGCAGACCTGCTGTGCCTGCAGTAGACAGGCAACATGAATGTGCACACACACACACACACACACACAGATGCAAAAAATAAACTTCAGAGTGGTTTGTGTGCACATCTGTATGTGTTTGTAACTTTGCGTCTTTGTCTGCGTGTGTGTGCATCTTTGCATATTTGAGTGTGTGTACTTCCTGTAGGGGAAAGGCGGCTGCACTGCAGTGAAACACAGACCAGTGATCAAACACAACTCAACTCAATTTACATTATACAGTTCATAGCCTCAGATCTGTTCTTTGAAGAGGCCACCCCCTAAGCACATATTTAAATGTATATGTGTGTGTGTTTTGCCTTGATCAGAAGCCCCCCCCTTTTTTTCATTTGTGGTGCCTCTGTTGCCATGGTTATCATTTTTTGGCTTGGTCAGGGCAGTCTCAGCATCTTTCTCTTCCTAAACGATAACGAATCAGCGTTTAAGAGCAGCCACCACTCTTTTCGTGTTATTTTCTCCATGTCCCTTGTATTCTCCGTTTGTCTCTGTGCGTCATCCAAGGTCTTGTTAAAAGGATGCATTTCTCCACAACCCGCGACAAAACAACAAAGACACGAAGCAGTTTTGTCACACCAGCCGCTCACACAAAAAACAAACCCACACTTGCTGCCGCCGTCCTTGAGATGTTTTATTCATATCAGAAGATAAAAATGATTGAACTTCTTCTCACTAGTTCCTAATAGTTTTTCAGTTTTTGAATCCAGTGTTTATAGTATTTCATCAGCAGCTTTATTTCGCCTTTGGTTTCAGATTTTTCCTTTAAATGGTCAGTATCACAGTATGACCATCTAACTTGTATAACAAAATAGTTAGGTACAGTGCTATGCATGTAAATACTTGTTATTGGGGTCAAGCATTGTGGTTTCAAATCATTTTTTAAAAAGACAGTGATATGTAACTTTAAATTCATAGGAAGGTTCCTGGAAAGTAGCGCTGGTAACTAAGGAGTACTAAGTAACTAAGTAAGTACATTTACTTACTGTACTTAAGTACAATTTTGAAGTACTTCCATTGTATTCTACTTTAAACTCCACCACATTTTAGAGAGAAATATTGTGCTTTGTACTTTACTACATTCAGATTATACATTCAAAGTATTTGATTGTCAAATAAAATAGAATGTATTTTTATTGAATAAACTACCCAATGGTATATAAAGTTGTTAAAATTGGCTCCATCTCTACCAGCTGTGTTACTGCATCAATAATAATGATCCAACACTCTTCTTTCTTTCTTCTTAGAAAATGATGGACCTGTAAAAGCATCAACATTAAGTTAATTTTAATATTTTTATGGATGGATCGTGCTCCAGATTATAACCAACGGAATTACAAAAACTGTTTGACCCCAGCCTGCTGCAGTCCAGTTGTTTGTGTTGTATCAGCTGTCATTTCTTAACACAGTGATCAACGAATAGCGGCAAGCCTCTGTAAGACAGCT